ACTACATGCCCTTTCTGTTTCAAGCATTGCACCATGAGAAGTTTGTCAAAAGGAGACGATCTTGCCATAACGCAAATCTTCTCCACCTTCTCCATTCTCTCTTCTGGTGTATAATTCCGGAATTCCTCGCCTTCCACAATGACTCCACTATCCATGTCCTGACCTGGCCAGAGAATCCCACATTCAATGGCAATAGCTCTTGCTGTGAAGACATTGTCGCCGGTAATCATTTTGATGTTTACTCCAGCATACTGGCAGTCCTCTACCGCCATCTCCACCCCTGGCCGACAAGGATCCTGGATACCTACAAGTCCCAACAAGGTCAAGTTTTCCTCTGTAAGCTTTTTCTTCTCTTTCACATTTTCTTCCTCTGTTTCTGCAACTTGTTTGTGAGCAAAAGCAATGCACCGGAGGCTGCTTGCCGCCATTCCCTGAATAATTTTCTTGAATTCCATCCTTTCTTCTCCATTAAGGTCTTTCATAACTCCTGAAGCATCATAGTAGCTTGAGCACATAGCCAGAATCATTTCTGCTGCTCCTTTCCAATGAACGTGGAGTGTGTTATCTTCTTTCTTCTTGATCAGAACTCCGCTCCGTTTCTTCTGAGAATTGAAAGCTTCCACAAAGAGAATTGTGAAATTCCTCTTTATTTCCTCGGGATCCATCTTCATGTCTAGAACAGCCCAAGAAAGAATTGCTTTTTCCGTTGGACTACCAGAGAATTCGAATTCCAACCCTGAAGAACCTCTGTAAACACTTCCGGTTGTGTTCAGAGCAACTCCTTGATGAATCAAGTTAACAATAAATGGAAAAATGGAAGAAGAAGCTCCATCCATGGCTTCCTTTCCCTGCCAAAACTTTGTCACCTTCATCTGATTAAGTGTAAGAGTACCTGTTTTGTCAGTGCAAATTGTGGTGGCAGACCCCATAGTTTCACAGGCGGAAAGCTTCCGGACCATCGCGTGATCCGCCATCATTTTCTTCATTGAATAAGCCAAAGTCAGCGTAACAGCCAACGGCCAGCCCTTCTGGGATACCAACAACGACAATGGTAACGGCAGAAGCAACTATCCTCACCACAGCATTTTTTTCTTTTTTTAAACAGGCAAGGATCATAGCATTTATTTTGTCATCGATTTTTGTGCCAATTCCATTGAACTCCGTATTTCCTTTCTCATCTGTTGTGTTTCGGGTAAAGTAACGAACCAACAGCACTACAAGAGCCAAGAAAGCCACTGCCAAATCGACCTTACCTATTGCCGATGTTAGCTTGTTTAACCGGACTTGCAGGGGCGTCTGCTCGTTTTTGTCGCCGTTCACGTGGCTCATCATCTGGCCCCAAGTCGTGTTCATTCCAACGGCAGTGACAAGCATCTGGGCGTACCCATCAACCACCTTGGTACCAGAAATCAAGAATGGGTTTTTTTTTTAATTCACCCCAACATGGTCGCTCTCCCCTGTCATGCTGGATTCGTCTATCTGCAGAGAATGTTCATCCAAGAACAACCCATCAGCTGGAACCTGATCTCCGATTTTCAGACAAACAATATCTCCGACCACGATATCAAATATTGAAATATGTTGCCGCCTGCCGCCTCTGATGACATCAATTTGGATGTTGTTGCTGACTTTAGACAATTTATCAAACTGTCTGTTCTGTCTGTAGTTGCTGATGGCAGAGACGCTAATGACCAGAAAAACAGCCACGAAAATACTCCCACCATCATACCAACCGTCTTTTAAGCCATGCTCCTTGATGCCAAAACCAAGAGAAAGTGCGGCGCAGCCGAGTAGGATCAAAATCATGAGATCCTTGAAAGCTTCCACCACAAAATGGAAGATACTCTTAGATGGTGGTTTTTTGTAGGTGTTAGAATCAAATGCCTCATGTCGGCGAGCAATGTCCTCAGCACCGCCTTTGATTCCACTATCCAGGCTGGTTTGAAGGGAAGAAGCCACCCCATTCACCCCGCCAATTATGTGAAGCTTCCCAAGCTTTTTCTCCTTCACAATGTCGGTGAGAGTGGTCTCATCAATTTTGAAACAACCATTTTCTGGTGGAATTGTTAGACAGACATGATCAGGAATGGGTAAAACCTTGGAATCATGATTTCTGACGAGAGAAAACAGAGTTCTTGAGCAGTAGATGGTGACAAAAGCCAAATGCCATTTTTTTCTGTATTTATTGAAGGAGGCCGGCCGAACGTCGAGCAAATGCTCAGTGCAGATCATGTGTGTTCTCTTGAGAATAGCAGTCATGAATATGGATAAGCAAAGAACAAGAATAATGTATATATATACGATGAAAAAAGAAGGAAAAAAATCTTTTCTGCAAATCAAAGAGAAAGAATCAAATTACCAACAGAGCATGAAGTTGGTGGGCAAAAAGAAAGAATCAAATAACAACAGAGCATGAAGTTGTGGACAATTTGATGGAAGAATAGGATGTGCATTATATCCTTTATATACTTCTTCAAAGATCCGTGTGTTTTCATGTTGAAGCTATGGAAGGAAGCTGCATTCCTGCTTCCTGGAAAACCCTTTACAGATATGAGATATGTACGGATGCGCTGACGATTTAACGGCGGTTACTTTGTGTTGGCTTTTCCGTTGGCGTCGTGTTTTGGTGTGGGAAACAAGTTAAGATTACATTGTGTGGGAAACAAGTTAAGACATGGACCCCGGGGTGGGTGATGTACGTGACATGGGTTTCTATTTTTTGGTAAAAGAATTCTGTTCTTCATACAAGGAGAATGAATCTTATGCCACGGACAGAGTAAAGAGAACATAGTAATACAAATCCATATGAAAAGTGAGATTGGTTTTCTTGGTGTTCCCATGCTTTTGGATTACTTAATTGCCATTTTAGTTTAAATAATAATAATAATAATAATTTTAGATCCGCTGTACGGCGCAGGTTTTTTTTTTTTTTTTCTTTTTCTGTTTAATGGAGACGCGTAAGGGTTGCTTTCATTTTTTGACCTCCAAGATGCTGAGATACGAGCATATAGAACAAATTCTGTTTCAGTAGGATCGTAGGTTCGTTCCATTTTTGACTAGAATACTTCGCAAAAAAAAAATAAAAACTCGATGACGTATTCGCTGTGCGCTAGCATGGTGGCTAAGGCTTTTTTTATTCCTTTTTATCTTTTCCGGTGGTGCATAATGATGTTACTTTCTTTCTTTTTATCAGCAATAATAATGTTATTTTCTTTCTTTTTATCAGCAATAATGACGTTATTTTCTCTTTTACCCCTATCATCAATGACGTTATTAATTATTATGCCTTCTGAAAGGAATCAGAAGGAAGTGCATTGTTTAAGGGCAAAACCTGCATATTCTTCTTAAAATTGTTCACATTAAAGAAAATTACTATTAAAAAAATATTAATGTAATTTATTTTTATTTTTAAGGAATTAATTTAAATTTAATTTTTAACGTTAATTTTTAATCAATTTTTA